TGCTCTGCTAATGCCCCAGCGTCCCGCCCCGCCAACCCCCTGCTCTGCTAATGCCCCAGCGTCCCGCCCCGCCGACCCCTGCCTTCCAGCCCTGCCCCTCAATCCTCTCCTGCAGCCCCCTGCTGCTCCCTTCTCACCCCCACCTTCTGTACCCCCAACGTCTACTCCATAGGACCAGGCTGAGCCCCCCATGCTCGGTTCACTTGTGACCCAAACTGGGTTTGAGCCAAGGCCTCCCACAGGCGGCAAGCGCCCTCCCTCCACACGTGTCAGGCACCACGCCTTCCGCTCCTCCCTGCCAGGTCGGCTGCCCCAGGCAGGGGCACCCCTGGAGCCAGGCTCCCTGGTCGAGGGTTGATACAGGGGCCTTGGCTGGCAGGGGAGCTCATGGTAAGTTCTGGCTGCACCTTGGAGGAGAGCAGCAGGTCTCCGAGCCAGAGCCTCCCCCGCAATCCCGCAGCCCCCTCCCACGCCCAGCGCTGCCATTCTCCACGAGCCTGGGCCCTAATGGTGTTTTATTGCCACTGAGGCAGTTCCGTGGAGGTGCCCTGTGGCCTCATGGCAGGAGGGGACTGGTGTGCGGAGCAGGGCTGAGAGCAGCCGGCCCGGGGGCAAGACACACTCTGTGCCCTATCTGTTAATTCAATGGGATCCCAACCCCGGGCCCTCACCCCCCAGCCAGCAGCGTCTCCTGGGGCAGGAAAGGCCACGTCAGTCTGACACCTGCCATTCCCAAGCTCCCCGTCCCATGCAGACGTGTGGCACCGCCCATGGGCTGGACCCCTCCATGCTGAAACGCTGGCACAGAGCCAGTGGGGATCCCCAGCACCTCCTCCAGCCAGTGACTGGGAGCCAGGCTGAGACCCCCCAAACTCACCACTTACATGGGTCCCCCAAACCTCCAGGGCACCCAGCCTGGTCTTATCCCCTCCAGCTCCAGAACAACGGGGTGCCCAGCCTGGCCTTGCCCCCGCTCAGCCCCAGATCAATGGGGGTCCAGCCTGGCCCTGCTCACTCAGCCCCAGATCAATGGGGTGTCCAGCCTGGCCACGCCCACCCAGCCCCAGATCAATGGGGCACCCAGCCTGGCCCTGCCCCCCCAATTCCTAGATCAACGGGGTGCCCAGCCTAGCCCTGCCCCCCAACCCACTGACCCTTACCACTCTTGGTGTCGAACCTCCAGGCTGGCACGCTGGTGGCCGTGGTGGCGCTGGTGTCGGGAGGCAGCGGGATGGACAGGTGCACGGGGCCCGACAGCTGCACCTCGGTGCCGTTGCCCGTGAAGAGGTGGACGCTGACGGCAGCAATGGGAACCAGCTCCAGCCAGGTGCTGTTGGCTGGGAGGGGAGGGGGCCGTCAGAGGGGCTCACTGCTCCCCGCCCCGATCCCTGCTCCCCCCAGCCCCTCCCTTGTCCCCTCCCCCCAGCCCCATACCGCTGCCGTTGCTCTCAGCCCCGATGAAGGAGGGAAAGCCCCGCATGTCGTGGGCCCCGCTGGCGGCCGTCAGGGAGGCGGAGAGCTGGCTGTAGGTGGAGCTGCGGGGCAGGCGGGCCGCCTTGCGTTGGAACTGCACCCACGGCTGGCTCTTGGCCCCTGCAACAACAACGGATGTGAGGTACCAGGCTCGCCCTGCAGGCCCCTGCCCTGCCCTGCCCGCCAGAGCCTCGGCGGGACCCCAGGGTGCCCTGGGCCCGAGCCAGCCTCATGGGCTCTGGCAGCACCCATGGCTCCATCGCAACCCACACACAGAGGGCAGCCTCTCCCCGCCCCTCCTGTGCGCGTGCCCCTCACC